TAAAAAAAAAAAAATTGATCAAGTTTCAGTCACTGATTTAAAAAAAAAAAAATTAATTGGAATGTAATGAAAAAAGGTGGAAAATCTAAATAATTTTTTAAAATTTTTTGTTAGCAATTATACATATATATAGATAGAGAAATTAAATATTCATTGATTAGTGAGTCGTTGTAAATATTTTTCTGGAGTAGAATCGAAAGATTCGAACACCGGGTCGTGTCTCTCGAGGAAAGGTTAGCCGGATTATTCTGTACGTTTACTCAATCACACAAAAAGAAATTATAAAAGAAATTAAATTTCTAAACATGCTAATTCAGAGATTGGGTTGGTATCAATTATCAACTAGTATGAAATTCAAATAAACAATAAAAATAGCAAGCAACAACGCAGAGCAAGAGGATGTGAAGGAGTTAGGGAGTCGGAGATATCCGTTTTGGTTCGAAATGCGACTAGTGGGAAGGTGATTGTTCAGTTAAGTGATTTGAATAATCAACACGTTCAAGCACTCATTCTCAATAACTATTCGTAACAAGAGAATAAATTAGAACGGCAAGTAAACAAGTCATTTTACTCCTAGGTAATACAGTTACGAACAAGCCTAGCTTATGCGAGCCTATTTCGATCGACTCATCCCCTTTCGGTTCTAAGAGTCGTTTAACTAAAACTAGAAGACGGTTAATCAACTAGCCCGTTTAGAATTAACAACATCAAGCATGAACATATCAAACTCAATTGAAACAATCGCAAGTTGAAGTGTCACCCTTCAACAATTCTCAAAATCCAAGACAATGATTGAAAAACCCTAATAGAGATTAACTCGCATAAGAAGAACAATCAACGAACACCCACAATCAAAAACGATTCCAAAACATCAATCCCCTATCCCTAGCAATAGGATTTAGCTACTCATAATCGAATGAACAATAATAATCATCTTTCCATATTCATCAATTAAATGAAAAGAAAAGTCTTACGATTGATAAATCTCAAAGATCAATTTGATAAACAAGCTTGAATCCGGAAGAAATAATAAAATTCAATCTCAAATCCTTGTTCTACGATGAAAAAAACAAAAGAAAGATGAAAAACGAGTGTTTATAATCGGGGAAGGGTTTATGTGTTTCTGGGCGTGAAAAATAAGATAATCTCATTGATCGAT